ATGGTATACCGCCCAGCACTAATTATATAATTTGACTAATTTGAATGTTATAATAATATAATTAAATATTATATAATAAGTTTACCTTTTATAGAGGTGCAACTATTTGTTGCCATAACATCAGTTGTTTGATATATTTTGAATACATATTATAAATTTCACTTATAGTCATCTCCATATTGAACTAAAGCTGTGTATTGATTTATTTAGGTTTGTGACACCATCTTGGCTCATGCAGATCACAGATTTGCATTCACAAAGCATCTGCTCAGTGCCACACTGCTGCAGCCAAACAGGTTCCTGCAGTACAACAACCAGTTCCCTGAAGAGGCACTGAAGACCACCGTAGAGGCCTACCCCATGCTGAACAAGGCCAAGCTGAAGACTGAACTGGGTCTCATCTACAGCATGGATGAGTTCAGGAGCTGCCGTGGTGCTGTGTCTCTGTTCAAGCTCTTCATGGACAACAATGTGCAGGACACCTTCTCAGAGACTGTGACTCTGCTGAAGATCATCATCACAACTCCCATGAGCACAGCTGAGTCAGACAGGTGTTTCTCAACCCTGAGGAGGATCAAGACTTTCCTCAGGAACACCATGTCACAGGATCGTCTCAACGCACTGGCCATGCTCTCTATAGAGAAAAACCTGGTTAAAAACATCCCGGACTTCAATCACAGAGTCACTGAGAAATTTATCCACTCAAGAACAGGACAAAGTTTCTTAACATAGAATGAGACCCAACATGACTTTATTTTCTAAACCTCACCAGTCATTCACCCTGACTTTTGTTTGCAGCCATACAGGTATTACTGAATGTTTTTCATTTTTAAAGTAATAATAAATTACATTTTAATGTTGTTTATATTGTTTTTATTGTTTTCATAGTTAAATAAATAACCTGGCGTGACACAACTTAGTACACGTTTGTTAGATTTTTTTGAAATATGTCTACTTTGGAGTTGTAGCCGACGAGTGTAGATGAGTGTAAACTGCAGAGTCCAGCCCTGTAGATGAGCGTAAGTGTCTGCCTCTAGATGAGTGTAAACTGCAGTCCAGGCTTGTAGATGAGTGTAAACTGCAGAGTCCTGGTCTGCCTGTAGATGAGTGTAAACTGCAGAGTCCNTGTAGATGAGTGTAAACTGCAGAGTCTTGGTCTGTAGATGAGTGTAAACTGCAGAGTCCTGGCCTGATGATGTAGCTCGTCTGTGCTGGCTCATTCTTTTGAACAGTGGCTGTTTTTCCCCCCTGATGTATAACTGATCACAGTCCTCCTGACACTTAACAGCATACACAATATTACTCTGTTCCTGCCGGGGAACTGGATCATTAAAGAAGAACCTGTCCAGAGGACCTACTTTTTTTTCACCTTCCTGGATCACTGAGAAGCAGCAGGACTTTTCTTTGTTGTAATAAATCTTATAGCAGACTTCTGATTTGCAGGACCTGGAGGAACCAGAAGCTCAAAACAAGAGTCAATAACAGCAAAATAAGATGTTTGACAGAGATTCTGTAAATGTTTATGTGCACAACTTACTCAGCTCTACTGCTCATCCCACAAATGCATGTTCCTTACAAATGTGGCCCCATTTAAAAGAGAATTTAACAGGCTGGTACAAGATATATTGCCAAAAAAAGCAAACACATTTTATTTGTGCTAACTTTATTGTTAACATCAGTAAATAGTTTTTTCTTCCCTTGAGCATTAAAATAGTAGAACTAAAACATCACATCAACAGACCTTTTAAAAAACGTTTTTAAAGCCTCAACAACAGTTCAGATTATTTTTAGTTCTGAACAAATAATATCTTACCTGTTGGACATCATTAAATTGATGATTCTGTCGTCGTGTCATTTCTCAGCAGGGACATCCCTGAACATGGCCTGGTTGTCAATGACTTTTTAAATTGGTGCCAAGAATCTTTTTTAAGTATTAACATGATTAAAACTAAAGATATTTGCGTACACTGCAGAAACTGTCCACCTAACCAAGTTTTAAAATCTTATATCAGCCAAAAAGTCTTTTTGATCTTGTTTTCAGACTGATTTACTAAACAAGAACTGATTGTGTAAGAATAATCATCTTGTTTTCAGAATGTGTAAGATTATTTGTCTTGTTAGTCTGAAAATTTGACTCTAATTAAGTCAAACATTTCTGCCAGTGGAGTAAGAACATTTTACTTGGTAAGATTCTTGAAAAACTTGATTTGACTCAATTTTTTCTTATTTTCTTATTTCAAGAATCT